GCACACCGTACCGATATCTCGTAATGGGAATTACTAAACATCTGAATCATTATTCATTAATATATCGTTGTATAAATGATTAACTTTCCATTATGAATGTCAAAACAATCCCATTGTATGGAGATTACACTTGAAGAACCACAAAAAGTATCATCCAAATCGAACAGATATGTATAAACGGTTAAACATACTATATATTCCAGATACGTTGGCCAGACACCATCGACAACAACCTATTGTGACAAAGAACAAACAAGCTCTGACATGAGGAAATCATCGAACTGTGTCACGAGCCAGCCCTCTACTTAGAAGTCTCAGGGCAGAAGGATAAAAGGAACATCAGTGAACTTATTGTACTGAGAATTAAAGTCAGACATGAAAAAAATAAATAGCACTTGAAAATAAACGGAAAGGAGAGTCCAGAAAGAGTTGGTTGTAGATCTCAGGTCGGTGACATATTTTCTACGGCAATCAAAGGCGTAAGTGATCAATTTGTTACAAGCATAAACCAAAATACACTAACTAACAACAAATTCTGAATAATTTCCAGAAGCGGTTAACAAGTATCAAATCAAATAAAGAACTGTCCATAATTCAAAACATTCTAGCGGTCACATAATGGCAATCTGCTATTCATAAATTCATACATATTATTTATTTGACTCGTTCAGGTGTGTAGGATCGGACATTCTAATAGGGATCTGTTATAACTGTGAAAAAATAATGCTGCTGATTAAGGGGGTAGTGAATTATTGATCGGACCAAAGACGCACAAACACGTAGAGCGACCTAGGGTTCTGATTGGTCCCGCTTCCCTGTCTAATCCAGCCAGTTGAGTCCAGAACACAAGTTTCAGCCTCGGATATATGAATCATTATATTGAGATTAGATGGTGGTTGGAGGTAGTCAACAGGAAACCCTGGACCCGGGTTTCGTGCTACTTGGCACTCATCAGCAAGGTGTACCTGTAATCTTGAGGGAACTGGTGCTCCCTGGCGGATTCGACCTCGTGTCACCCAGCTTCACAGTCACAGACGTTACCACTGAGCTATCCGAGCCGTGACTAACCTCCTGTAGGACTGAGATGTAATCACAATTGATTGCACTAATAAGGACTGCACTAATAAGGACTAGACAAGCATGAGATTGATCACCACCCAGTGATCAATCAGTTGTGATGAATCATTATATCTCAAACATACTTTGTTTATATACCAGTCAAGCAGACCACAACGTACCATAAAAAAGAAAATAACATTGTACAATAATGGCCAGTAGGAAAATGACACGTTAAACAAATATTGACCAATAAGATGATACCATTTCATGTCCAAGGATAGCATTAGGCTTAACAGGATAATTTTTGGGATATTTTCCTGAATATCCCAACAGGATCATACATCCCAGACAAATCAATTATAATTCAACGTTTTTATTAGTTACCGAGTATATAACATTCCATTAAAAAAAAAGAAGCCAAACGCTTCTACTCTAATGGTTCAGTAATTATGCTAATATTCTCTTTTATTATAGTCATAAGTTTCATTTAGAATATCATTTCATTCCTATTGCCATGGTGAATCCTTTCTTCAATATTCATTTTTCCCTTGTGTAATCAGTTTAAGGATTCTTTATGTGAATCTCTGCAAAAGAAAATAATTTAAATACAAAGTATACCAACAGGCAGACATGCACACACATTAAGATAGATATATATCTACGTACATATTGAGCAATATTACTCAAAGGATATAGAGTATGACCTTATTTAACAGATTAAAAAAGGTATTACAGAATAAAATTAACAGATTAAAGCTTAACGGTAGAGGATTATGATTAGAAATGACAGTATGAACAACTCATTAGGATAACAGAATGATCAGTTTCTATTATTTATCGGAAGCTAACAATTTATATTATCTTGAGTGATCTTTTATTCTATTGATAATTACTTGCTTACTTACTCCTGTTACTCATTGTGGAGGAACATAAGCCGCCTACTACCATTCTTCATCCAACACTATCCTGGACAATCCTTTCCAATTGTTTTCAGTTGCTATTCATTATATTGATGTCTGCCTCCAATTTATGACGAAATGTGTTCTTTGGCTTTCCTATTTTCTGTTTCCCTTCACGATTCCAAGTTAGGGCTGGCTTCGTAATACAGTTTGGGGATTTCCATGGTGTTTGTTAAATCAAACTCTAACGTCTTTTCATGAATTCATCTTCAGATGGAAGCTAACTTGCTCTCTTTCAGAGTAGGCTGTTGCTGATGGTATCCAGCTAACGGAGCTAAAATATTAGTGAGATAAAAATAGTTTACGGATTGGAAATATAATAGATAGTTGCCCACTTGAAAGATATGGATAAAACAAAACAAGAAAACTGGAACTAGATTGTACACGTTACCTTTACATGAAGAGTCTACTTTGAAACGCGGAACTTCCAATGACCCTACAGTGCACAAGTTGACGATTCATGGTTCATTCTAGGTCAACCCGCTCGGCTGTGAATGCTGCTCTGAAAGATGGTTTTGATGAGTTGACATCATAAACATTTGTGCAATGTTTGGTACTAAACTGTTAACTGTTTGAAATTCCTCTGAAATTCATTTAAATAGAGTTTATATTGCGTCTTATAAGATCTGTGAACGCTTTGTGATGAAATCTTACTGTGATTCTTATTACAATCAAACCACAAAAACTTCCGTACATTTTCAGTATGTGAAACAAACTTGAAGATTTTCTACGTTTATTTGTAACTGGTTAATTTAGTTCTATAGGAAATGACTTTTTTTACTGTCTTAAGCATCCTTTGTTTGGGATTTACATGGAGAAACATCTCATCTTATGAATTATAATTCACTTGATTCTGTAATAATAATTATTAAGTTCCATTTATTGGGTTTGGAAACAATCAAGAGAAAACTATAATTGATTTAGTTAGACGTGTCTACAGCCTTGCAAGAATTGATCTTCTGTTTGAAGTTCTAACCAATTCAGCTGATGCAATAATTTATGACGTTACTTTTGAGATATTTGGACCCTTAATGATCTCCAGTAGAACTTAAATTGCTGAATAGTATCATGTTTGTTTAGTCTATAAATCTGAGTGTATACTCTAGGTTAGGATGCACTATTGATATCAGTCTAAATGATTTTTTTTTAAAAACTGTTTCAAAATCCAAGCGATTACTGTTCTCACTATAACTTTAGGTTACACTCATTTCAATTTTGAAAAGAGCAAGAACAAAGATTCTAGCAGAATAGCATGAATTCATTTTTATTTCGTAGGTTCTCGTCAGCTGCTTACAACCTGTGATATTTAAAAGTCATAATTACATAATGGGTTTAAATTGCTAACTGAATATTGCAAATATGTACCTAATGTGAAAGAATATTCTACAACATTAATTGTGACAACAGTTCAAAAATGGGTTAGAAACAATCGATTACATAATGAATAAACATTGATAGGAATGTAGTGAGTAGAGTTCAGTTGAAAGATTATTAATTTGAAAGATAGTTGAAAAAAATAAAATAGAGTGAATAATGTAATAAATGCAAAAGAAAAAAGAAAAAAAAATTTATGGTGCAGTGAAGGAGTATTTGTCACCAGGGCAAGGAAAGATTAACCACCGTCTCCTTTTGAATACATAGGTCAGGTTTTTGACGCCTGATGGCATTGGCTTCAGCAAACTTCAGAAGACTGGAGTTTGGCTGCTTATTAATCACCCTAAAGGATTGTAAGGTATCTACCTGATGTCCTGTATCAAGGCGATGTTTGGTGATTGCACTGTTCAGAGTCTTTCTTTCCCTTGTTCTAAGACTTTTTGGAACATGTTCAAAGAATCTAAGATATGCTCTCCTTTCAGTTCGGCCGATGTAGCTGCTTTGGCAGGTACACGTAAATTTATAAATACATTTGGCGGTAACCTGAAAGGGTTGCTTGTCGATCTTTGATTGGGTTATTGAACATGTTGTTTTATAGAGAATTAAAAGGTTAGCACCCGGATAAGTTCTGGCTAGCGCTGTATTCAGTCTCTTGTTGATAATTTGTGCGACGTCATCACCTTTCAAGTTAAGATTTATATATACTGGCATTTTATTGACCATAGTTATTGCCGTCTTCTTTTCCTTGAGCCTTTTATATTTTTCAATAAATTTTTGTGGATAAAAGTTGATACAGGACATCAGGTAGATACCTTACAATCCTTTAGGGTGATTAGTAAGCAGCCAAACTCCAGTCTTCTGAAGTTTGCTGAAGCCATTGCCACCGTGCTATTCTGCTAGAATCTTTGTTCTTGCTCTTTTCAAAATGATAAAGGGAACTATGTGTATGAAATTTCTCAAAAAACGCCTCCCTGATCAGTTATTTAAGTCATTTCAATTTGTCAAGAAGTAGCAATTACATTAAGATTACCAACTAGTTAAAAATCTGGCTTCAAGCATTTATTTTTCTTGGTTACTTCCAATTAATTAATATAATTATTCTATTAAAAAAGAATAATCTATTTGTAAAATCTTAGCGAATGAATCTGAAGTAAATCCAACTTTTCGCCTGGCAATGTGGTCCAAGCTTTTTCAAGGAAATGTTATTTCTTTCCTCTTTTAATGTCTCATATTAACTCGGCGCCCAAATACTGTAAAATTATTCGATCAAATTTAGATGAAAGTTCTTATTTATAGTTAGTCTATGTTATTCTATACTGAAACATTCACCTAAAAAACTGTTAATTAATAAAAAATTTCGTTGAATATCAAGATTACTTTATATTGCCGATATTTGGTTCAAACCAATGAAATGAATCCTAACGTTCAAATTTACTCTTAATACTAAATTTTGATTGGTCACTTCTTATTTAAAATTATTTTATTGACCAATCAAATTGAAGTATATAATGAAATACCTTATATATATATATAGATCTCATATATAATTGGTCAGGATTTATTTTCTACCATGTAAAACAGTAATCATAAGCACATAATAAATTCTACACTTATAATAGGTCATGAACAACATTCCATTATAAAGAAAAATAAAGAAACTATCATTGAATAATAGATGATGTATAATATGAAGAAAAGAAAAAATCAATATTCAAGATTTCATTTCGTATATTTACAAAAATACAATGGAAAACAACTAAACTTTATCTTGTAACTACATATATAACTAAAAGTTGACATCATCATCTTGATCATCATCATCATCTTGATCATTATCTTGATCATCATCATCATCATTAAGATATTTCTTAAAAAGGAAAACAATTTTGGGATTAATTTTATCACTACGTGTTTTCTTATTAAAAAAAATTTTTTTTTACTATGTGGTTAATCTAAGGAAGAGAAAAATTATGGGTTGCGTGAATACAAAATCAATTTTAGATAAATCCATTGAAGAAATTGAAAAACCTGAAATTTTATTAAAAGTAAGTATGAAATAAATTACTTATTTAATTTATTGTTATGATTGATTATTTGTATATAAGTAACTAATGAATTATTTCTAATAGGAATAATTAATCAAAGATGGCAAGTGATTAGCAGTGAAATCAAGGATGCACGTTTCGTCCTATTAGGGACTCATCAACTGGATGTATCTGCATCCTAGAGTTGACGTTCGAGTCTCGGGATGTAGGTCCATCCAGCTGATGAGTTTCAAATAGGACGAAATGCGTATCCTTGATTCCACTGTTAACCACTATTCATCTTAGCTTTAAAAAACTTGTGATTTAAGGCTATATTGAGACAATGCACACAGGATGTATATATGCCAATATGAGACTGATCAATTGTAGTCCTAAAACAACAATGGGAAGATACAAGTAAAATAACACCAAATGAATTTAGAAATGATTAATTGTTGGAAAATGACTTAAAAATATAAAATTCATCATTGTCAAGTTTGTCATCGTTATAATAAATGAAAATATACATTTATTTGAATTATAGAAATTTGTATTAGTGTAGAAGTTGTAGTTTAAAGTTTACAGTCATTGAATTGATGACTAATTAATCTTATACCGTATAAAACGTTTATTCATCAAGAAATGTACACTCAGATGAAGTATCTTTTGAGCAAAAGTTTACTGTAAATTTGAAAGTTAGAATGCATTCAGCAGCTGAGTGAATAACGCGATGGCGTTTAAAGCGAATGGTACAGGGCTCGAGTCCTAGAGTAAACACCAATAACAGACTGATCAATAGCTGTCTTAAACTTCAACGGAAAGATTCAAGCAAATAATACCAAGTATATATATTGACCTAATGGCTTTCTAAATGATTTCTTAACTAACAGTACGTTTAGTATTTTATTAACAATGTAACATTCTATATAAAAATAAAGATATAGTGTAAACAATAATTCCCTTACAGAATTGAAGCGTTAATGATTTCCATTTGGTTTGATACTTGTAATACATGTTACTTCAAATCATTATGTGATTGTAAAAGATTCCATTCTTATGTCCCTTGTTCTTTTGACTATCTGTGAAGTGGAATGAATGAACTTAAAGAGGGTAGGATAAGACATTCGAATAGATCATTTTAATTATCCCATGTAACTGAACATCGCTCTATTAAGATAATAATCAATAAAGGCCTTTCAATTTACAATATTCATATGGAATTCCTTTGTTGTGTAATGTGTATATGTTTACAATAATGTGTATATTCTTAATGTTTTTAATCTTGAGATAATCAGCTTGAATTTAGGCATTTTCTAAATGAAAATATCTTGTTTCTATGATATTTTTGTGACTACAAACGTTATACGCCAATCAAATTAAGATATGATAAACTCAAATATTTATGCTACTGATTGTTACAGGATTGATGAATAGGGATTAGTGGGGATTATAGAATCCCCATAGTTTAAATTATGAACTGATCTTAGCTAGATCACCACTGAAAACTTTGAAGTATTGAACAGATGTTTTGTCACAGTACGGAGTCACTCAGTAGTTTTCATCTATAACCCCGCAACTGGAAATCAAACTCGATATCTTCGATCTCGCGCTCGGATGCCTATATTTGAAACCACTGAAAGTGTTGCAACCTAATTTGACCGTTTATTTATTTATTGTGAACTTGTTTAGTGTTTGTCTGTATGTGATGGTTGGTATTGGAGAAAACAAGTTAACTTATTACACAATGGCATTCATGATTATTTATAGAATTCACGAGAAGACGAAACTGGTTATCATATTTTTTTGATATGAGAGTAAATAGTATTAATCATAATTTTTAGTAGCCGCACCTCTTAAGTTAATGAACAAGTTGTTAAATATATGTATTCTACGAATAGTATTTACACACTTTACTTTCACTATTGTTCGTATAAAGTAAACTTACCGACATACTTGTTTGCTAAAGGCATAGTTAACATCTTCAATTGATTTTAGCTAGGAACCTAACGTAGAGCGTTAGAGTTGTATAGAGTATGAACTCAATGGACATTCAGAGAACGATTCTGGAATCTTGAGGCTTTCGGTTGATCTCTCTACTTTTGAGTAACTAACCAATAGCCCACTCTGTTAACTTTAGCTATTCCATGATACTCGAATTCTGTTTGTTTTATTTGACCGCTGTGATGTTTGCGTTTATAAATATGATTGAGCGTGTGTTTCACCTTGGTTTTTAGAAGATAACATTAATCAATCCGCTGTAGCTTGGTTTTTTCAACAGTATAATAACATTCAATAGAATTTGTTTCCTCATTGTTCTGTTAAATCGTTTCCAAATTCACTCATTTCAATGGCATTGTAAACCAAATTATATACTCGGTAATTGTATTAAACGCATATAAAACAAAACACTGGGTTGAAACTAGTATAAATCGTTAAGACAGTGTACAATAGAACTTGATCTGATTACTTATACATCAACTAATTTTTTCATGACGGAATAACTTTATTCATAGAACCACTGAAAACCGGGGATAGCTGGAGCGTTATTTTGTTCTTGTATAAGACTCCTTATGATTGAGTGATCTATAGGTTAAGCGTTCACTGAAAAGCCTTGAAGATTCTATTTTGGTTTCCCAATTAGTTTGCGTATACGCAATCTTGAAGAGTACCATCGTAGAATAAAAAACTTTCAATTTTTTTTTCCTAGTTTTCGTTGGTCATCAAACTAAAATGAACTCGTGAGGTATGACAACAAAATTCATTATTTTTTGTAAAACTCCATTTTATTAAAATATATTAATTACTATCTTTAAATCTTATATTTCACTCAGTGGGAGAGATAAGTTTAAAGGGGGATGACTTCTAATATTTAACTAAAAGTGTTGTACTACTTGACAAAAAAACACCCAATTTATTCAAGTCCATAATTAAGTTCAGTGTGATTACTTTGAAATTCGTGTTGATAGAAGCTAGAACTGTGATGAATGTAGACTCCCTACTATCCTACTCCCCTATTAAGTATTTTAAACGTACATTAATACTGTTTATATTGATTTGAATAACTGTCTGTCATTTACAATCTAATTAGTGAAACTATTAGTTGGTTATAATAAGTTGGTTTGTGTGATTTACTTTTTAAATTCGACATCTTGACTAATTTATTGTGTTGTCAAGAGAAAAAAATTGTATTTGCATTAAACGTATAATGTTGGGTAACTGTAGTCAAGTAGTAGGAAGTTCTGCTTGACCTGTGTTTTGTGTTAATTCACACTTTTTAAAAAAGGATGCCCACAATGTTGAACAAACTATTGATCATTGAGAAATCCTCACTGGTATCTTACATTCTTCTCTTTTCATCATGTTTATTATTTATTATTTAAACACATAAATATTGGTACAGGAAGGCATCAAATATATATACACCACATAATACATTCGATTTGTGTGAGATGGTTTTTTAAGGGGCCACTCTCCAAACCTTTGACCTAAAGGTTTAATCCATATGGCAGTGGAAAAACGTCAGCAGATGCAGTCCTGTGATAGCCAGTGACAAATAATAAGTTCATAGGCCATTTGTCCGTCCACGATCCTAGAGCTCATATGCACCATTGATTTGGAATTACGGTTTTTCAACTCCTCTGGGTAGATGCCTCATACGCACCAACCTGGCTAAGGCACCGGATATTTTCCTTTCGTCCTCTAAATGTCGTAAACAATACTCTCACTATGAGAAAGCAGTGAGTAGGACTTTCATGTCAATGTCCTCCATATTTCACTCCTCTCTGATATGCTTGTTTGTGGAAAAATAATCTGTTATATACTCCTGATAGGTCTTGAGCTGTTTCTGACTAACGTTCCTCAGGATAAATTACATGAATATATATAGTTTAGGTAGTGTGAAAACTATTCAATCTTTTGTTATCTAACGTTTAACACTTAATAGATCTTTTTTAATAATAAGCTAACCAATTGAATAAGGTGTTCCTTTTCAATTGATGTTTAATTACTGTAGATAAAACAAAATTTAGACTGCATTGCATCAATAACTTTTCACCTTAGATTTATTTGATATTACTTGCCAAGATACCTTGAAAGTATGTTCAAAAACGAATTCATCAACAACATGTCTAATCTACTCATTCATTCATTCATTCATTCATTCATTCATTCCTTATTCATTACACGATCATCAGACAGAAAATCACTGAACAGTTAAACGAAAAAATAAGACTAATTTGACATGATGGAAATCATTTTTAACACAGATGAATGATTTTGATAGAGTTTAGTTCTTTGAGTTGAATGGTTTGGTCAACCAAAATCGAAACTTCATCAAAAATAAACCAATTTCAATTTTAACTAATAAATGAAAACAGTTCTGTTTATCATGGTTACAATGATGATGACTAATTTCTATAATTAAAGAAGAAAACATTGTGTATTTCTTTTTCTAAACAAATAATAACAAGTTAGAACCGACAAGATGACAGTAATAATAAAGCTTATTGTTATTACTATTATTATTATTATTATTACTTTATTGATTTCTTCACATTTCGTCCATTTACTTTCGTCAAATTGGAAATCAATACGACTGAACATTGAAGGTTTAATATATTTTAAGAAATACCTATTCAAGAAAGAAAATAACCGAACATGTTAATCGATCGATTTAAACAAGAAGTCGACTCATGACAATAATAATAATCATAAACAGTTTGTCTACTGTACCATTGAGACTGTCTGTTTGATAACTAGAGGCATTTATCAGGAATCTTTGAAACTGAATCGGAGTGAATAAATGATCAAAGTGGAAATTGGGATCTGTAACACATAGTTCTGTAGTTGGAAACTTAATACATGGAATTCGATTAGGAATGAGATTTTGATTTTCTAAAAGTGATAAGTGCTAAGTAATCAATTAATTTAGATGATGTCTGATTATGGCCATAAAGTAGGAATTTTTTTATGATATGACAAGGTATATGTTTGTGTTACTAAGTTTCCAGTCATATATGTTA